GCAGCAGGAGCCCGCCTCTATGATGAAGTTCAAGCCGAACCAGAAGCGGACATATGACCGGGAGGGCTTCAAGAAGCGGGCGGCGTGCCTGTGCTTCCGGAGCGAGCAGGAGGACGAGGTGAGGCGGCCGGCGCGCACCCGGGGCGCCGACCCCGCGTCTGGCTCGGAGCGAGGAGGGATTAGCCTCCCTTCCTCCACCCACCCACCCGCCCTCCTTCCTTCCTTTCTCTCTCTTGGTGGATGCCAGGGAGACAAAGGGGCTCGCCCAGCCCTGCCTTCTGCATCTGGGCGCCGGACGGGCAGGCGGGAGGCCGCAGCGGTTCCGGGGACAGGTCCCGGGCTGCACCTAGCGGAAGGCACCATCTCCCCGGCGGGCTGGGGGAAAAGCCGGCTCCATGTCCAGCCTTCGCCCGGCTGCGGGGAAGGCGTGGAGCCCTAGCCCGTCGGCCTCTCTTCGCCTCCCTGGCGACAGCAGTTGGCGGGTGTGGATCAAATCCTGGAGGAGGGGGTATATATAGATGTTTGTGTATGTTTATATATAAAGAGGGAGACACATGCTTTAAGAAGAAAACCCGCTCGGACTAGTTTTGGCCCTGGCTTGGACCCTGGAGCTTGCTAGCACTTGATACAATTACCCTTAATAAGAAAACGGCCCCCTCGTTTTCAGGTTTTCTAACTGTAGAGCGCTAGCTAGTGTTAAATGACTACCAGCACCACGAAAAGCCTGAAGATGAGCTCAAGCTGGGTTAAGTTGCCCTTTTCAGTGGTTTCTCGAGCTTCCTTACTTGGCCGGTTGGCGTGACCGCTGGAAAGGAGCTGTCTGTGCGAGAGGAAGCAGATCTCCTTCAGCTTCTGTAATTTACCTGTGGGGGGTTGTCCTGCTTATTTCCATATGCATGTAATGGCTCACGGGTTTGGATTCAGTTTGCTTGTCATAGCGCTCAGTGTAACATTGCCACTCCTAAAATGATCAGACCCGGGGTCCCCCGTAAGCAAGGGAAACACACGGGTTTACTTGAGTTTCTTTACTAATCTGTAGTACATACTGTCTCATCATCCATTGTCAATTTTAAGAGAGGCTTTGGTTCTGTAAGATGGTGCGGTGGGGTTGGGAGAGAGACAGGCCAGCTGTAAACCTCAAAGCAGAATCTTTGTGGGGGGAGGTGGGAGGGAGGGAAGTGAGATTGTTCACTGCAGATTAGTAAACCAGGTAAACCTTTACCTTGCTTATTGGGTAATCTGACACTGATTGGCCTGGAGAAATTAACATTCTAGGCTCAGCTTCCATAAATGAGTGTATCCAATAAAATGCCAGACTGAAGCTGGAGATGGGAGTTTAATGGCTTCCTTATTGCTAGCCCTTGTAGTTCTGGAGGTGGGGTAGACATGGTGTACACTAAAGTGGTTTCATTGCCCTTGAGATAGAGGCGACTCCAGGAATACAATTTTTGTTCTAATAGTAATTTGTACATAACAGGTATTGGTCAGTCAGCTGTCTTGAGTATGTAGTCTATAGTATACATTTCTGTACACAAAAACCATTGAAAGGAATGCAAAAACCACTCTTAACATACTAATGAAGTAATAATATTCTGATGCACATTACAAAAACAGTTATTAAAACTATTCTATGTACCTCAAGTTTTTAATATGATAGACTGTGTGATTCACAGCTTTTGGGGCACGCTGGGCTGACAAATCAAGTCCTTTGTGTTTTGGAGAGAAACCAAACCCCCACTGGTGCTGGCCAATGCTCTTTGAGTCTTTTAAGTGTTGAAGCTAATTCTGAAAAAGTGAGTTTTCCATAGAAACTTAGTCTGTGACATTGGGGGAGCCAGAATCTAGAAGAGGGGGAAACGCAGAATATTTATAAGCTAACAAGGTCAACAAGCAATAAGGGCCTTCAGTTAAAAAAATTAAAAGGCCTCTGTGAAAGATCATGATGGGGCATGCTTAAATTCTGCACATTTTAAGACCAAGCATCTTATCCACCTTCACCAGGTATAATCATACTCTTTGTGGAGTGCATAGGGTGGGCTCCATTGTTGGAATACCTTTGTGTTTTGGTACATTTAATCTTTACCACACTCTGAGGTATTATTGCTGGTTACTCTCACTCTCGGAGTGAGAGGCAGATTCTGAGGATTTTACTTATTGTGCCCAGATGACACAAAGAGTAGTTAGGGAGAGATCTGAGATTGACAACCCAGTTAGATGTCTTCTAACTGGGCTCAGGCCCAGCCCATATCATTTGGTCAATTGGGCACTCACTATTTGTTGAGTGAGATTTTTTTTTTTTTGGCGGGGGAGGGGGGAAATGTGAGGCCAAGCTTGGGGAGCTTTTCTCTTAAGTGGTGGATTTTTGAAGTATCACCATAACTTAAACTTGGAATTCAGGCTTCAAAAAAGCAAAAGTCCCCAGGGAGAACAGTGGGGGAGAAAAGGAAATTCAAATGATCTGTGTTATGCAGATGGTAAAAGCAAAGTCTAAGGAAAGCTTCAGTAATTGCCTTGAGCAGAGAAATGCGTTCTCTTTGTTCTTGAACAATGTTACTACTCTAGGACATACCAGATTCCTGGTCTCCAGTCAGGTTAAAAGATTGTGCTGTTAGATAAAAGTAAGGCCTTAACTCTGGGTTAGCTTTTGAGAATCCTCTTTTTCTGTGGTGAAAACAGGTAAATGAGCTGCTCCTGTGTTTACAGGACAGTAACAGAATATACTCTTATGAGTTAGCTTAGTGTTTTGCTAAGAATTTGTTTCCATTCTGTTGAAGTTGCATTACTCACCTTCCAAACATAGGCTGTGAATCCAGCTAGGACCTGCCACCAGTCCAACCAGTAGGTGAGAAGTGTTTCTACTGGTTAAGAACACCTAGACCCTGATTGAGAGATTAAAGTGCATGTTTTATTTTTTTAAATAAAATTTTTTAATTATTTATATAGAGTATAACATAAACAGGTAGTTGTTCTTTGGCCCCTAAGAACTCTGCAATACTCCAGACATGCCTCCCTGTATGAGGGGAGATCATAGTAAGCTCCAGTGAAAGGCTGTGGGTCTAACAGCCGATAACATCTTTTGATGGAGTAGAGAGGGCCTTATATAGGCTTCCGTTTTGATCTTTGCTGTATTAGGTGGTACTACTTGTATAGGAAGAAATGGAACAGTAGAGGTTACTTGTGCTCGGGTCCCTGGTGGTATGCATTTATGCTGCCAACCCAAAGACTCATAGTTTGAATCCACCAAATGCTCGGAGGGAGAACAAAGATGAACAGTCTATGCCCATGCCTGCTGGAGTGTCAGCCAAGTCTGTTTCAACTATACCAACAAGGCCTCAGAAGCAGGCAGGTCATTTGAGCCTAGGTCCATTGTTTCAGAACTGTAGGTTCATTTGAGTACATGGCTTTTTTGTATACACCTGTAGTTAATCTCCAACTATTTTGTTCATTAATAATATATGTTTGGCAGTAATGAGCTTTGAAGCGCTAAATAAGAGTAACGCTGTGATGGTTATATGTCCGTTTGGCTGGAACATGATTTCGAGTCGTTTGGCAGTTGTGTATGTAATGATGTAATTTTTGCAGTTACGTAATGATGTGGTCATCTTCCATTTTTGCATAATGCTGATTTTCACATAACGGCTTGGCCTTTGGAACCTGGCTGTGCTGATGAATAAAGGAAGTTCTGAAGTTAGTTCTGTGAAGAACCTTCTATGGTTTCACAGTTGGCCTTTCAGATAGGCCCATAATAATTGTGTCCCAGAGCAGGTAGCAGTCATGTGCTCCTATAGTGAGTAGGGCAGTGTCTGCAAACAGGGAGCCCAGACCAGGTAGCCCTGGATATACGTGAGTTATGTGACAGTTACCAGGTCACTTCCACTTCACTGAAACCCCGTGGCCGCGTAGAATCCTCCGCAGGGTTTTTCTCTGGCTGTAATCTTCACAGAAGCAGTTCACCGAGCTCCTCTTCTGCAGAGCCCTTGAGTAAGTTCAGACTGTCAACCTTAAGGTTAGCAGCAGATCACCAAGGAAGTCATAATGAAAATTGTCAGCCTGTAAGAATGGGACTGCTAACTGAAAGGCCAGTAGTTTGAATTCACTAGCCACTCGATAGGAGAAAGATGGGCATTCATTCTCCTGTCGAGATGAGATTTACAGCCTTGGAAACCCGGAGCCAGAGTCAGATGCAATGGAATCAACTCAGAGACTGAGTTTACTGTAGTTGGTTTTGGTTTTGGCTGGACTAATTATACAAAGGGAAACAAAATATAAAGGTACAATTCTCAAGTATTCCGGGGTTTCAGTAAGAGGAAGGAGGAATGGAACCTTTTTAAATAAAGCACAGCTAAGGTCACTATGAGTCACAAGAAACTCAGGGGTAACAACAAGGAAAAGTCACTTGGAATTTCTGGTGGTAAATTGTCATCTGGTTGGACTACAACTTAGAATCGTGCAGAACAAACTGAAAAGCAATATCTTAAATATATGGTATTAATAGACAAGAAAAGAATGCTTAGTTCGAGAATAAAGATATTTTAGATTTTCAGTGTGTTCAAGCTTGAGCGTTATCTGGCAGCAAAATGGAAAAGGCTGCTCAGTGGAGAAATAGAAGCAGCTTGATTCTGGGTGGTGTATTGCTCTAATTAGCTTCTAGATTTCTTAAGCCATGAACTCCATCTTCTCCAGATGGTTTACTGTAATAGGGAATTAGATGGTGCTTAAAACTCCAGTGCTCTGCACAGTAATGTACTTAGACGTTCACTCATTGCCTTCAAGTTAGAACCAACTCATAGCTTACCCTCCTGTGGATTTTGAGAGGCTGTAAACTGCGTAGCAGGAGTATGGCCATCTTTATGCCTCTGAGCTGCTGGTGGATTCGAACCGTCAGAGACACACCACCTTTAGGTTAGCAGCCTAACATCTGAGGGAGTAGAGTCTTAAAACCAGAATTCTGATAATAGCCATCTGAATGAGAAATACTAGAACTCGTGTCATTGCAGAACTGACTCATGAGGGACTCTTCAGAGCTTTTCAGAGATGTCAGTCACACAGGTGTTTGTCCGTCTTTCTCCTGCAGAAATACTAGTGCAATTAAATTGGCCCTTCTCAGTATTATAACAT